ATTCCAAGATTTTGTCCTTTAAGAAGGCATTGTGCCTAGCCTAGACTAAATTTCTGTATCTCCCAAACTGCCAACCCTGTCAGGTGTCACTTGTAAAGATGTAAAGCTTAATTTTCTTCTCCCATCCCTCCTCCTTTATTTCCCCTCTTCCTCCTCCATCTCCTTCCCTTTCTCAGCTTCCTCCTCTTTCTTTCTTTATTGTTATAGGGTCTCATTATGTAGCTCAGGTTGGCCGCAAATTAATGATCTTTCTGCCTCAATATCTTGAATGCTGGAATTACAGATTATGTCACCATGCCTGGCCTTAAGGCTTAGTTTTCATCTCTGAAACGCAGTTTCTAAGCAGTCATTATGCTTGATAGCCAGCTGGCTTCATGCATGAAACTATGAAAGATGTTTTATAGCTTGGCAGCTTCCATTTTTCAGGCTCTCATTTTTTCCTTTGGGGTCATACCTCTTTATAAATCCATTTTAATTTGTATCATCTTCTTGTCCCTTTGGAGAAGATATGAACCTTGCCCACCTGACTGAAGTACTTATGTCCCAGGAGGATGGGTAGGCTTGTAAAGCCGTTTCACCGGGGGAACTGCTTAAGTCATCTTCATCTATCTAGAGTGTAACAAGCCCACACATTCAAGATTATATTTCCAAAGGGCCTGATTTATTATGGGTTGGGTTGAGAGAGGGATTTCTGTACCTTCCCAGTTGGATTATACAACCACGAGGATCCTAATGGATCTCCAAGCTAATTGTATTAGAAAACAAATAGTACCCAGACACTCTCCTGTCTCCATACAGAAACATGCTATATGGTTAGCACAAACACACTTCTTGGCCCTTAAAGAAGATGGTTTGGTACACACGGCAACTCAGAGGTAGAGGCCTTGTTCACTTCATGGCTTTGACTTCCCTCCTGTGAGAACGCAGTTTTCCTTATGACCCACACCGGGCATGGGACTTTTATTCAATAAAGATGGGGAAACTAGAAATGCTGTCTACTCATCACCACCAATTCTTCCCTGGATATTCTCTCTTGGGTTCAGATCAGGCTTTTGGCTCCATTCACTCCATTGAATGACTTGTCCAAGAAAGCTAAAGTGGGGCAAAGCATCTTCCCTGAAAACCTGTACATACAAGTATCATCATATGGACTGGGCAGGTTGTAGTTATGTGTTTAGGAATATCTATCGACAGTTCAAGAAAAAGAGGCCAGGAGTTTGAGTGAGGGGCCTGGTACGTGGGAGGGCTTGGAGGGAGGAAAAGAAGGGGGAATTATTTAATTATATTAATTTTAAAAAACATTTAAAATGTTTCCATTCATTGTTTGACATCAGCATTTAACAGTGACTCTCTTCACTCTATAAAACATTCTTCAGTTTTTTTCCAAGACAGCAGATAATCTCTCATTTTACCCTATCACCTCCCCGTGTCTTTTACTTTCAGAGTCTTTGGCTGTTTCCTCACTGTGCCAGATTCAGATGGTGCTAACCTCAATCCACACATAGGCCTTCACGGCTAGCTGGGCAGCCAGAGGCTCCCAGGGGGTGCCCCCACTACTCTTGGAGTTGAAAGTAAAGTTGCTCTTGCTGCTGAATGCATGCTTGCTTCTGGCTGCAGGGCCTGCTACCAGGCTCTGGTATCATTCCATCATCTGTCATGATGTCTCCATATCTCATGCCTTTGCATGCATTGTTGCACACCTGCATTAGTCGGCTTAGACAGTAAAAATAACAGCATAGTGTTTAGTTAGGGTTATTATTGCTGCAAGGAAACACCACGACCAAAAGCAACTTGAGGAGGAAAGAGTTTATTTGGTTTACACTTCCACAACCCTGCTCATTACTGAAGGAAGTCAGGATAAGAACTCAAGCAGGACAGGAACCTGGAGGCAGAAGCTGATGCAGAGGTCATGGAGGAGTGCTGCTTACTGGCTTACTCTTCATGGCTTGCTCAGCCTGCTTTCTTATAGAACCCAGGACCACCAGTCCAGAGATGGCCCCATCCACAATGGGCTGGGCCCTCCTCATCAATCACTAATTAAGAAAATGCCCTACAGTCTTGCCTACAGCCTGATGTTATGGAGGCATTTTCTCAACTGAAGCTCCCTCCTCTGACATGACTACGCCTTGTGTCAAGTTGACATAAGACCGGTTATATAGTATCCGCCAGAAACTACTTGGAAATGGACTGAAGTCAATAGAAAGTCTTCATTAGCCAATAGGGACTACACTGGGTGTTCGGGATCCCAGTGTAGCCCCAGGCCTCTCTCAGGCTGAACTTTTTAGCACAAAAACCATATTCTGGGTTGACATATTTCAGTTAACAAGAATACTTATCCAGAATTGGAACTACAGAAGTAAAAAAGCAAGATTAGCACATTTAGAGACTTTCCCAGAACTGTGGACTTGATGCCTTAGGTCTTTGTTTTCATTTTGGCAGGTGGTGCTGTCTACCTGCTGGGTTTTATGCTCTGTATGGTACTTCCATCTTGGAGTCAGTTGTGCTAAGGACTGAGGCCTTGTTATGTTAGCCAGCACAATTGACCCCTTGTTAACTTGACACACAAACAAATGACTGTTAAGCCACAACCTTTCCTTTCTTGTTGATCACAAGATCACCCATCAATATAAATGTCACACTATAAAACATTTTATAAACTTTCAAAGTCCCAAAGTCTTTACACATTCAAACATTTTAAAATTCAGTCTATTTAAAAATACAAAGACTCTCTGTCTCTCTTTTGGTTTTTTGAAATAGCCATGGCTGTCCTCGAACTTGATTTGTAGACCAAGCTGGACCTGAACTCAGAGATCCACTTGCCTCTGCCTCCCGAGTGCTGGGACTAAAGGTGTGTATCACTACCACCCAGCCAAAGTTTCTTTTAAAATCTAAAATCTCTGTCTCTCAACTGTTGGATCCTGTAAAATAAAGAAGAAATTAAGTACTTTCTTACTGTAAGAGAGAAGAACCAGGGCACAGTCACAATCAGGTGAAAGCAAAATTAAACTCCAACAATATAAATAACTCACTGTCCATCATCTGGGATTCACTCACCATCTTCTGGACTCCCCCGAGGGAGAAGGCTCTTCTCTGGCTCTAACCTCTGCAGCACACACAGCTTGTCTTCTAATCTCTTGCAGGCTCCATTCTACCACTGCTGCTGACGTTTGCGAACTTGAAGTACAAAGGAATGACTTCATGATAGATGCTAACCAATAGACGATGAGGATAACTCCATTTGTGTCACAATGTAGGAGCTCCTCAGAGTCCATAGGAGAGCATCCTTTTCTTCTTCACTCCTGGGAAAACGTCACACTATCCAATACAAAGTTTGCACATTTGTTTTTTACCTCAGGCTGTGTTTTCTAGAGAAACAAAGACAGTGGATATAATATATAGCCTTTGAAAGGAAATTCTTGGGGTACAATCTGGTCATTTGATGTAGTTTGAGAGTAAGAGGGACCGCATTGCTGCTGGCAAGCAGAGTAGTGATAACATCTGTCACACTTATGTCCTGGTACTAAAGACGCTCTGGTTTTTTTTGTTAGAATGAAGTAAAGGTGGAGGGAACAAATGGGGAAAATGCTTGGATGTTTGGAGGACATGGCAGTTTTAGGGATCACAGTGTGGGCTTGCTGATTTTGATGGCACTCTGAAATAATGGGTTTACAATGCTTTTAAAACACAATGCAAAAGCTAGAAGTCTTCAATGAAAGCTTTGAAGTAGATCTCACTTTCCTATAGTTGGATGACAGATTGCTGAGAGTGAGGTCTAGAATCTACATGTTAGGGATGACAGAGATCTAAAGACAGTCGAGTGTGTTGATGCAACAGGACGCCTGTGTCAGATGTTCTGATTGTTGAGAGTACGGTGCCTTCCAAAGGAGATGAGACACTTGGATGCATGGGCCTAAAACTGTTGGATTCGCTTCTGTTTCTGGACTTTTCAGTCTTGTAAGAAGCACCATCTTTTTATGACAAAAGAGAATAGTTTCTCATTGCCTGGGAATCATGAAATTCCATCCCAACGGAGTGCCTTACTGTTCTCTTCAAGATCCAGTTCATTCCTCCTCCCTGGGTCTAGACTGCTGACCTGTTTTTTACCTTATTCTTAAGGCAGAAGTAGAAGAGTGAGTTAGGGAGAGGAAGTTTGGAATCAATTGAAATACACTGAAAATAGAAAATCTGACTAAAACTAGGTTTATTAAAAACTGAATGTATGAGGTAGCAGAGTATCTATTAGGGAATAAGAAGGAGACTGGAAGAAAAGGATGGAAAATGTATGGCTGTTGGGGGTAAATATGATCAAATCACATTGTATACATGTACGAAAGCCTCACAACATAAAGACTACTGAATGTTCCAATTCAGTATGGCATTCAATAGCTTCTTATTTTGCACAAATAGTATACACTCATTAAAAACCCCAAATACTGTACAAATGTAAAAAGCAGAATTTGACACCATGTATTTAAGTAGACTTTTAAGAGGGAAAATGAGAGAAGTCACACAGGAACTATTTCTGAAATATTTTCTTAACATTGAACACTTTATAGATAAAGAATTTTAAAAATTCTTTTAAATTTAATAATTTAAAAGTATCTAAAAAGTAGGGCAGACAAGATGGATCAGCTATTTACCATCAAACCTGATGATCAGAGTTTGATCTGCAGAACCCACATGTGGAAGAAGAGAACTGACTCCTGCAATACATCCTCTTACCTCTATACCTGCGATAGGACCAATTTGACAAAGTTCAGTGAAACTCAATGTGACAGAGGAAGAATTTCCAACAAATTGCTGGATCAGATGGATATCCACACAGAGAAAATGAAACCTGAGTTCTACTTTATGCCATAATAGTTGGTATTTATGTTGAGCCATACATCTAAAATAAAAAGTAAGTATATGAAATGAAATAAACCATGAATAAAGTGATGTGAAGCTTACTATAACTTGCATTTTAAGTAAAAGTTATCATTAAGAAAACAAAGCAAATCACAAATTAGGCAAATATTTTTAGTATGTATACTTGACAGATAACTTGGATGCAGAACAAACAGACAATACAGATAATACCAAGTAAGAAACTCTAAATATTGGCAAAAGACTGAAAATTTCATAAAAGGAATATACATAAATTGTAAATATGAGAGAGGTTGTTTAGCATAATTAGTTACAAGGAAAATGCAAAGCAACTTTGCAATGAATTTCTTCTAGCTTATGCTCACTGGAGTGATTAAAATAAAGAATGACACTATCAAGGATGGGCAGGAGAGGAACAACTGGGAACTGCTTGACATCACTGATGAGACTGTAACATGGTACAACTATGTTGAACAAAGCCACTCAGCAGGTTCTGTTAAACATACACCTCCCTTCTGTCCTAGCAATTGTACTTGTAGGTTAAGAAATACAGCAGCTTTATTTCCTAACAGCCCAAAGTGGAAAATATCCAGGTGTCTAAGACCAGATAGTCAAGCTGTGGTGCATTTTCAAAATGTAATATTTGTCATCAATAAAAAGGAATTAGCTAGTGCACATAGCAACCTGTGGGTGGGAACTATTGTTCTTATCATGTCAGTAACCACATTTATCTCATTTAATCAACATCCTTTGGAAGAGAGGAGAGATGTTAGACAGTGGCATTTCCAAGGAAGCCACTATTAGTTTGGAAGCTGTATCTCCCTTTAGGTAATGTTCCTGAGCATTGTGACTTTATCTCCACCACAAGTAGCAAGCATCAGATGGTTTCTCCTCCAACACGTGCTAGATCTCCATTCTAAAGTAAGGATATCATTGAGTGTGGGTTTTTGCCTTCCAGCATGTTGGCAGTCATGTAAACATTTCTCAAGGGCTGGAGAAAAATGGCATAGGGTCCGGGGGTGTAGTTGAAGCATTATGATGGAGCGGGACCCCTCTTCAGTAGTCGGAATGCTCCATCTCTGATCTGCTTGGTTTTCATCCCATAGATGATGGGGTTGAGCATGGGTGGCACAACCAGGTAGAGGTCAGCCAGGAGGATGTGGACATGCCTGGGTACATGCTGGCCAAAGCGCTGCGTATAGAACGAGAAGAGCCCAGGTGTGTAGAAGAGAAGGATGACACCTAGGTGGGAGCCACAAGTGCCAAAGGTCTTAGCCCTGGCCTCTTTGGAGGAGAGGCCCAACACAGCCCGGAGGATGAGTGCATAGGATATGGCAATACAAATGGAGTCAGTTCCTACGACGAGTGTGGCTGCTGTGATACCATATATATTGTTTGGTTGTGTGCCTCCACAAGCCAGCTTCACCACAGCCATGTGCTCACAGTAGGAGTGTGCCACCACTCGGCCACAGTAGCTCAGCCTCGCCAGTAGGCAAGTAAGTGGGGTCATGAGCCCCAAGCCACGAAGCAGAGCAGCAGCCCCTAACTTGCTCACTGACTCTGGGGACAGCAATGACCCATAGTGCAGTGGCCGACAGATAGCCAAGTAGCGGTCAAAGGCCATTGACAGCAGGATACCAGATTCTACGGCTGAGAAGCCATGGATAAAGAACATCTGGGCAGCACAGGCCCCAAAGGCAATCTCAGCAGCATTCGCCCAAAAGAGTGCGAGGAGCTTGGGCACAGTGGAGGTGCAGAGCACCAGGTCAATGGTGGACAGCATGCATAGGAACAGGTACATGGGCTGGTGCAGCGAAGGCTCAGAGTGCACCACCAGCAGAACTGCCACGTTGCCAAGCACTGCCAAGGCGTACATGGAGCAGAAAGGAAATGCAATCCAAAAGTGGGACGACTCCAGGCCAGGAATTCCCATAAGTAGAAAGGAGCTCGGGTTCTGATGGCTGTGGTTCGTGTACTGCATGGTCAGGCTAAAGAAGAGTGTGTGTGGAAGATCTCACTGCTTTGCTCTAGTGTCTATGAAACCTGAAGAGATGGAACAGCTGGGATCGTATTTATGCTGTAGATGAATGGCAGCAGAAACATTTGAGTTAGACTCCACAAAAGAGCACCTGAGATGTGAAGATTGTAGGGCCCTGGGAAATAGCAAAGCAGGAGATGGGTTAGTATCAGCTTGGTTCAAAGGACTCCTTCTCACTTCTGTGTAGTTTAATAATGTCTGGTCTGTGGGACTGGCTGAGGGGCATAGACATAGAACCATTTCCATGGCAAAAGTAAGAGCTAGAGATGTTTACATAGTTTTCTCTGCCTAAGAACCTTTGAATTTCTCTAGTACTATTTCCTGCAGATTCATTGGCTGTGTGACAACACACAGGCGATGTTAATAACGCAGGGTCAGTTGGATTGGACGGGAGCCTCAGATATGGTTTCTTTTCAAGATGGGAAGATTATTATTGAAGGAAAGTAAATGGGGGGGGCAAGGGCATTTTGTATGAGTGTTTCAAGTTCCTGAGTCCATCACTACTTACTCATAAGGACTGAAACTTAAGTTTTGATGAAGAATAACAAGACATAGATGAAGGACCAAGTCTCTTGTAGCCTGCTATGGATGGAAGATTTCCTGGCTCATGTTTAGTAAGATCCTGGAATTGCTTCAGGAGTCCTATGCAGCTGTTGGTAGACTCAGGTGAGATGATGTGGAATTAGTAGTGGTAGCTGTCAAGATGATTCAGTCATAATAAATGATTTGATGAGGTCATTGAGAGATAATTGTTTGCAAATATATTCTCTAAGGAGAAGTAAAGGTATGTGAAAGGACAAGATGTGAATTTTAATCACCAGCAATATACAATACCCATAAGCAAGTAGAGTTAAATTTTGTCCAGAGACCATGCTGAGCTTTGACACATCTCTACTCCACACTCTCTGCCACACACGCTTTTCTGATCTGCCTCCACCTGTGTCTTCTCACTTTTCTTATGCATTAACCAGCGATATTTGAGAATTTCAGAGAGTAGGGAGATCGAGTGAAAAATATGGGAAGAGGACAGTAGGGGAGGGATGCTGATGAGAAGGAAACAGAAGAGAACCAAAACCAGAATTCACATGGAGAGAAGCGCTCATGACACGCTGGGGCACGAGTGTGTCCTGTTTGCTAACTGAAATAGAGAGTAGAACCAGATAGATCATCTGGAGATATCACAGTTGTGTCCCCAACCTAAAGATACAGTTTTTCGTGCAATTGCGAGCATCAGCCACTGCACCCAGGGACCTATGAAACTGCCTTGGAGAAAGGCAGGAAGGAGAGCTTTCTAATGTGAACTGTTATGCCAGGATGCCTCTTTCCATCCCAGTGCCTACTATAGCTGTCACTCTTGAATAAGGCATCCTGCCCCTCTCTAGCTCATTATTCCTATTTAATATTTCCTACGTAATCTTCTGTGATAGTTCTATGATCCATACTGGGACCAATAATCTCCATAGGGGATTTCAGCCAAAATGGTGGTTGGAAGTGTCAGGGGCAGAGGGAAATCAGAGTGTGTGGGACCTTGTGAAATGGCACGAGAATGCTGCCTAAGCTTGTGATTTTGTGTGTCCATATATATTGATGTGAAAGCAGGGCTGCATTCACAAGATTCAGACTCACATATTTACATGACACTCTCTTTGGTTGCCCATCCCCCAGATATAATTTCTCTGATAAAGAGAGACCAGAGGGCTAAATAATCTAGGTATGAAGAAAACAGACCCATTTCTTTCCCTCCTTTGTCCTCTTAGCCAATTAATCATCACATCAGATTTACTCAGCTCTTGAATTTCCATTCAAAGATCCTTGCCCTGCCCTTCATCCTGGAGCCACACATACCACAATGTCCGTACACACCCCCTGCCTTGGCTGCATCGCACAGGTGAGACATGAAGTTGGAAGCACAGGCATTGAGTACACTATGCCTAGATTCCAGGAAAGATGTCAGGGCTTAAGTATGGATCTTGGTCTTCTCATTTCCTAGCTGCCACTAATTCTTGAGTTAGAATTCATTTAAAACTTCCCGGATGGTGAGATTGTAGGGCAGTGATGCAAGGCTGAAGCTGGGTCACCATCATCAGCTTTTACAGGGACTCCTGTTGTCTGATTTAATGACCTCTAGGCTGAGGGCTGAGCTGCATGTTTGCTGAGCCCATTTATTGTGAAGGTGGTATTGGACACTTTTACAGCATTTTTCTATATCTTCTAGCTGTCTTTACACCCTAGTATTTTTTTTCCTTATTCATCTGCATTTTGTGGTCAACCAAACATATGCAGTCACTTCCAAATAACTTTCTCAGAATAGCAAGTAGTCACTCATCCGTTTGCCTTGTTTGCATCGTGTTAGCACTTGCTATAAGACAGGCCTTACCTAAAACATATAAGAATAGGTGCCCAGGTACCAGGAACAGAGCTGTGTTATGAGGAAAGCAGCAAATTCTTCACCCCTCTTGAGCAAATAAAAGCTACTTGTCAGCAATTTGTCACCCTTGATGGAAGCTTCACCAAGATCAGTGCAATTCAAATCCTGGCTCAGAAACTTACCAGCTAGACTCAGTGATCTCACCTCAACTCTGTTCACTTGCTTCCCGATGACCTGGAGAGGCTGATTCATACTTCATGGAGACTGTTGATTGACAGAGGAGGTCGTTGTCCAAAGAGTCAGGAACATCTCAATGAGAAATAATCCTAGTGGCACTTGGGTCTGTGGTGGCTTATAGTATGTCAATGCAGGGCTGAGCTTCCAGACAGACTTACCAAATCCAGGAAGCGGGTGGTAGTGGAGTTCCAGGTCCTGCAGGGCTTAGAGTACTGGAAACAAAAGAGCTCCATTATTTATCCTGTCATTAGGGCCCGAGGTGTGAGTAGAAACTCCCTGAGGACAGGGACACTAAATAGGCCTCTGGGATGCTGGAAAGAGGCATCAAATTGAAGCTTTGAAATTTAGACCTTGTTTGAGGAGGGAAGAACGTCTTAATACATCTTCTGCTTTAACAGAATACCAAAAGGTGCATTGTAAATAATACAAATTTGTTTGGCTTATGGTTTTAAAGGCTGGCAAGTCCAAGATCCAGGGGCTCCATTTGGCGAGGGCCTCATTACTGTGTTATATGTGGTATTTAATTATTTACAAATGAAACTGTCATATGATCTATCAACTCCACTATTGAGTATATATCCAAAGAAGATGAAATCAGTATGTTGAAGAGATAGCTGAACTTCCAGTGTTTATTCATAACCGGTGGCATGGAACTCAGTGCCCATCAATAGACAGGTAGATGAAGAGGATGTGGAAGATATACACAATTAAATACTATTTGGTCATAACAAGAACAAAATTCTATTTGCCACAATATGAACGAACCTGAAGATTGCATTAGGTGAAAGAAGACAGACACAGAAAGATAAATTCCACTTATCTGTGGAATATAAAAAGATTACCAGAGACTGGCATGGTTGGAAAAGAGAGAGGTAGATCTAAGGGCACAAAAATTGAAGTTAATTGAGGGGATATGTTCAAGAAAGAGTTACTGTATAATGCTCTGATTTTAGTTAACAATAGTTAATAATTTTTTTCCCTCGGTGCTGGTGATCCAATCCAGTTCTTGCATGTTCTAGACAAGTGATCTGCCCCTTTAATGTGGAATTAATACACATGTTAAGCCAGCTTTATTTATCCATGTCACAAAGTACATATATTTAAGACAACATGATATGCATGATAAATGTATACAATTTTATTTAAAAATTAAAAATGAGAGGTGCTTTGGAAAAAATTGGATTATAAGGCAGAAAATGTTAGGAAGTACAACTTGGCAACCATGCTAGACCTTTCTGAGGAGCTGACTGAGTCAGGGATCTTGACGAAGTAAGAAATGCATGCAGGTCCATGAGGTATACTGTTACAGGCAAAAGGAACAGTAGATATGGAGGCATCTGGAACACATTTCATGAATTTGAAAGACAGCCTCAGGCCAGTTGCTAAAGCAGAGTGACAAAGGAGACAGTAAAAGTGAATTTGGAGAAGTGGCCATGGTCAATGTGATAATCAAGCCATGGTGAGGATTCTATTTAGTTTGAAATGTGATGAGAGATATTGAAGAGTGTGGTGGTTTGAATGAAAATAGCCCTCATAGGCTCAGAGGGAAGTGTGGTTGGAGGAGGTGTGTTACTGGGGGTGGGCTTTGGGGTTTCTGAAGCCCAAGCCAGGCACAGTGGCACTCTTTCCTGTTGCATGCCGATCCAGATGTAGAACTCTCAGCTACCTCTTCAGCATCAGTCCACCTATGTGCTACCATGCTTCCCACCATGATGATAATGGACTAAACTTTGAAACTGTAAGCCAGCTCCAATTAAATGTTTTCCTTTTCAAGAGCTGCCATAGTCGTGGTGTCTCTTCACTTTTTTTTTTTGTTATGAAATCCTAACTAAGACAGAAGTTGGTACCAGGAGTGGGGTATTGCTGTGATAGACCTGACCATGCTTTTGTTTGGAGGAATATGGAACACTTTGGGACTAGAATATTTCTGGACTAGAAAGGCAATTGGACACTTTAAGCGGGGGCTTAATGGGCTATAGTAGTAGGAGCATGGAAGACAGTGGTGGTGAGGGTAAATTGAACTGTGGGGGTCCTTCTCAAGAGGTTTCAGTGGAGAAGAATGTTAGTATGTGGCCTAAAGGTCACTCCTGTCATAGTTTGGTGGAAAATGTGACTGCTTTCTGCCCTTGTCCAAAAAATCTCCCTGATGCAAAATTGAAGAGTTGCAGATGAACAGCTTTGGCAGATGAGATTCCTGTGCTGACTGTGTCCTGTGGTTATTAGTGGACAGTCTTAGGCAAATCTATGATGAAAAGGAGCAAGCAGAGCAAGGAAAAATATAAAATGTACAGTTTGTGGAGAAAAGGGGTACCAGGAAGTATAAATAGATTAAGAAAAAATCTGACACTAAGTGGAATAAAGGGAGCAGTGACCTCAGAGCAAGACCCCACCCAGCTAAGCTTTCAACTTGTGAAAAGGAATTAAAGAAAAGTTTAGGGATGGGTGTGGTGGTACATGCCTTTAATCCCAGTTCTCCGAGGCAGATCAGATCTCTGAGTTCAAGTCCAGTCTGGTCTACAGACCAAGTTTCAGGACAGCCAAGCTTAGGCAGTGAAGGAAACCATTAAAATAGAAAGCTGGTGAAAATGTATTTGAACAAAGGGGGCCGTGTTCCAGCCCCAGCAAGCAGCAGAATGTAGCAGCTTCAGCCATGTGGTTCTGGCTTTAGAGTCAACGATACAAGAAAGGGGTTATAGATTCCCCCTCAGTAACTAAGGAAAGCCACTGAGACCAGGTGTGTGGCAGAGGTGTCCCTGCATGGAGTTCCAGAGAAGCCATTGTGTGAAACTGTGAAGGTGAAGCCTGGATTGCCTTGGAGACCCCAAGATGTTAGAGATGCCAGTCTTGTGGGATGCCTGCTGAGGAGAGTTGCTAACAGGGAGTGGAACTGGCCTAAGAGAGAGAAGTATGCTGCAGTCAACAAAGCTGAAAGGAGTTGGAGATCTGAAGATCCATTTGACATTAGACATGGAGATGTAGAGTTTGGAGTTTGCCCATCTGGTTTAAGGCTTGTTTTGGTCTAGTATTTCCTCACTCTGCTCCCTTTCCTCCCTTTGGAACAGTAATGTATATCCTGTGCCATTGTATGTTGAAAGTATGTGATCGGCTTTTTAATTTTGATTTTTTTAAAAAAAATTATTTTTCTCTCATCTAGTGCATCCTAACAGCAGTTTCCTCTCCCTCTTCTTCTCTACCCGCCCCTCCCACACCCTTCACTCTTCCTCCATTTCCCTTCAGAAAAGGGCAGGCCTCCTATCAACCAAACCTGGCCTATCAAGTTGCAATAAGACTAGGCACCTCCTCTGGTATTAAGACTGGATAAGGAAAAGGGTCTTCTCAAAGGCTGGCAAAAGAACCAGAGACAGCTCCCACTGCCGCTGTTAGGAGTTCCACAAAAAGACCAAGCTATTCAACTATAACAAAGGCCGAGGGCCTAGGTCAGACCCGTTCAGGCTCTATGGTTGTTGGTTCAGTCTCTGTGAATGCTTATGAGCCCAGGTTAGTTGATTCTGTGGTTTTTCTTGCGGTGTACTTGTCCCCTCTGGCTCCTACACTCCTTCCTCCCCTTCATTTGCAGGATTCCCTGAACTCTGCCTAATGTTTGGCTGTGGGTCTCTGCATCTGTTTCCATCAGTTGCTGGATAAAGCCTCTCTGATGACAATTTTGCTAGGCTCCT